GCCGCCAACCGCAAACGCCGCAAAAAAACGCCCGCATCGCGCGCCCGCCCGCCACCAAACGCAAACGCCGCAACAAATGAAAACCGCCCGCATCGCGCGCCCGCCCGCCGCCAACCGCAAATGCTGTAAAACTGAAAACCGCCCGCATCGCGCGACCGCCCTCCGCCAACCGCAAACGCCGCAAAAAACGCCCGTACCTCTACCCCTACCAACACCACTGGGTCACGTCAGGTCACGGACTAAATTAATATAATAATAAGTACTAAAAATAAGACTTGAAGTGTTCCCAGCCCTGCTCCTATTCGTGCCATTCCATTACGCTTAATCGTATTTGTCGGAAATGGCGCTTTGTGGCGTATGTGGCGCATTGCGACAAACGCGGCGCATTTTCACCCGGCGATTTACCATGCATCTTGGCACCAAATTGCACCCACATCGGACTATATTTGACAAAACTGTGCGATTTGCGGCAAAAATGACGCCCTGAGATAATTGTGGCGCATTGCGGCAAACGCGGTGCATTTGTAAACTCTTATCACAAACTGTTTCCATCGAACGAAAATTAACACATTTTTCGCCACTTTTCATTCAAATTAATAACTTGCCGATCCGCCAATGCGAGGCACCCGTCGCCGATCGGCATGCATTTAGTCCACAAAGTTTGTCGACCCCGGCTCTCAATGAAGATCTACGAACCGATCAAAATTTCGTTTGCGTTCTTCCAGCGCGCCCCACGCGCGAACCGTGCACCCCAGCGAGTCGGAACCTAGAAAAGGCGCTGACCCGTTCTGTCACCTATAAGGTGTGCAAATTTCAACCCCCTACGATATACCGTCTGCCCTGTAGGCCGGCTAAATTGAACCCACTACACGGCGTGGCGGACAGACAAACAGACAGACAGATGGATCCTGTTCAAATAGTAGTATAGATATACATAGAGATGACACGCCTATGTTAAAGCACTTGATTTCGTGGCGATTCAGTGGGTCTTTTTAAGCAAGGTTTTCTGGGGTGCCATGGCCCGTGACTTGCATTTTGTAAGGATTCGGTCAAGGAGATTGTGTTCACATTCGTTTATTTTTAAGTACAGCTTTTCTTTTTTGTCTAGCTGTGACGCTTTCGAGCGTTATTATTGAACTGAAATTAGTCATTTTTTAACCTTATGCTCGTATCAGGTACTACATGTATCATTAACTCTCGCCGGCCGACGGGGAGGGGGGGGGGGGCGGGTGCCGCCCCCCATAGGGTTTTTCACTATAGCTCCGAACACGCCGGCGGTAGAGAGCTGAACCTTGGCATACCTGACCTTTGATCCAAGTCGCATCTTGTGACATCAACCGCATTTTCAGGTCAGGTCAGGTCACTGACCTGTGACGTCATAAGTGAATCTCTGCACAGTCCTCAGATGTCGCAACTTCGCAACGTCGTCAGTGCCAGAGGAACTTTCACAGGGACATGAAACTTACATGATGTAGTAGATATCCTCCAGAGGTCTCACAACTTGTTTATCTCGGATTTTCCCTAAAAATCACATGAGGACAGGTCATTCACGACTCATGTGACCTCACCATTGGGTACAAGTCAATGGGGAAAAATGAAAACTGCTATGTTAGCGCCGAGAACTATCTCAAACTGTCTCCAGCACATGGAAATGGAATCGTGATTTCTTGCACGCCTTGCAAGGTCCGATGCTTCACTTTTCCAATTTATAACGTCACTTGGGTCATTAGAGTTTTTCATCAATAACTCCCCATCGAATTGAGTTAGCGAGTCGGTAAAGCCACCAATGGACTCAGGAAGACCTGCCGATTCGAGTAATATGTAACGTGACCTCTTTAAACCAACTTCGTGATCTGAGGGGAGCTGACCTGACCTTGACCCGAGGTCAACACTTCAAGCTCATCTCACCCGAACAAAAAGTATACCATTCGACGCGCCTGAGCGGGGCGAACACGATGATGCCAAAATCGCGGCTCTCCGACCGTTTTTTGCGAAGATATGAAAAACTGAACCCTTGCCCTTGGTCACTTGACCTGACCTCAGAGGGCACCGGTTGACCTGAGACCTTAAAATCGGGTACCAGTCGCTGCGTCTCGTAACGGCGCACACGCTTGTTTTTTTCCGCGACGCTCTAGCTTCATCAGGGGCGAAACGGCGAGGGAAATCGTACCAACCCCCCCCCCCCCTCCCCCCTCGGCAGGCGCGTATGTAGAAAACCAATAGGTCCGGCGAGGGTTAATGTATCATTGAATGGGAACATGCAACATATGTATATTTGAGCTTGCACCGTGCTCAGAACGGTTCAGAACAGCCGTTTTCACGACGGTTGACCGAAAGCGCCAAACTTGACCAAATCTCAAGAAACCTCTGAAAGTGAAAATTCCATGAACCTGACCCAAATGACCTTAGACCTGTGACCTTTTTTGGGGGACCATGTCAGGGGGCCATAAAACATGCATTGCATCGCACAACCCTAGTAAAGTTGGTTCATGTGCTGACCCTTGGTGACCTGACTTGTGACCTGACTTGGTATTATCAGTGACCTCTAATAGCAACATATATATTAGACAATTGCTGATTTTCGACAAAATGCGTTTTACTCTATGTTATAGCGCATTCCCTAGAAGACCTGTGAACGGCAAAACATTTTATCTGTGACCTGACCTGTGACGTCATCGGTGACCCCGAGGTCAATGAAATTGGAGTTCCGTCGACAAATTTGACAGGGCTATCGAACATCGTTTGAATGTTACGGATCCGTCCAGTAGTTTCGGAGATACGAGGGGGGGGGGCAAAAAACGCCCCCCCCCCCCCCACCGCGCGGAAGGTGGCCGGGAGGTCCACCGCCTGCCGGGTTGCTGAGAGCCTGAATGAGAAAGAATGTTTTTAGGTGAGCTTTTAAGGAATTCAATAAAAACATAAAATGAATTCATGCTACAAATTTCATTGCTTACCTCAGGAATGAAATCAGCCTGGGAAGAACAGCAATATTTTTAACCAGTAAAACGGCTTTTGGGGCGACCAACGGAGCGAGCGAGAGGGTGGGCCTTGGACGTGCGAAATTGCAAGGGATACCTCCAACTAACTTGTGCACTGTACCCTACTAACCGGTCCCTAGCGATGTGCCAAATTTGAGCGCAATCGGCCTAGCCGTTCTCGAGATCTGGAAGCGGCACCCTGCACGTGCGCACGTGCAAAATGGGCCCCAACTGACTTTTGCACGGCACCCTACCCTACTAACTGGTCCCTAACCATGTACTAAATTTCAGCACAATCGGTTCAGCCGTTCTCGAGATCTGGAATCGACCCCTGCACGTGCGGACGTGCAGCAGCACCCCAACTGTGGCACATGGATATGCATTGCCTAGTGGGTGCCTCCCTACATACAGTGGCGGATCCAGGGGGGGACAAAATGGACATTTGCCCCCCAAACGGCATAATTTTAACATTACGCCTATGGACGATGCATGGAAAGAATCGATAAATTGTTATGGTTTGCCCCCCCTCCCCAAAAAAAAACTCTGAGCTGGATCCGCCTCTGCCTACATACCAAGTTTCAGCGCAATCGGCCCAGTAGTTACCGAGATATTGCAATTGTGGTCAACCACATGCATCGAGAATAATCCAATACTTAGTAGAAGAAATGAAGCTACCCTACAAAAATCACCGCATGTAAATCGGTCAAGTGGTTGCTGAGATATAAGCCTCGCAAAAGCGTAACCACGGCCGGCCGGCCGCTCATACTAAGAAATTTCCGTTAATCTACGAAAGACTACGCTCGCTTCACTCGCTCCGTAATAATTTCTTCAGACTGACAATGCCTCAGCCATATTGGCACGCTACTGGCTGAAAATAAGTTGCTTAAAAAGACCCACTGAATCGCCACGATTTTAAGTGCATGTCATCTCTATGTATATAAGATCTCTATGGTATTATCATGCGTTCTACTTAAGAATGATTCGGAAACTGGCGTGAAGTCTTTTGAGGACCATCGATGAATTTCGGTAAAAATAACTATGTAGCGGTTTGAAACATTTGCATTTTTTTTAGAATATTGTTGCTTGTCATGCAAAAATGTTGGGTGTATCTTGGACAAAATTGAATGCTCTTTCAAACAGTACCAGTTTCAATTGCGAAACATATCAGGTTATGCAGCAAAACCCGTGTAATTAAGAAAGCGGCACATCATCGACAAAAAACATTTTCTCCAGCGATTTATACCACCTTGTCGTCGATCAATTAGCTATTCACAATTTTCCCATGAGTTTTTGCCCTCTGGAAGCTAAACCGTTGACAAGAGGTCAAATCTGAGGACATGTTTGCGAAAGAGCGTTAAAAGAGCTATCGAATGCGCTTTTTCGCGGCGCTGTAGCTCTATTGGTTGCCGAGTTAGCCGTTGGCAGTTTCCAAAATGTTGAAATAGCCAATATTTTACCTTTGGTGACCTCCGGTGACCTGACCTTTGACCTGACCTATAAAATGGCCGAAGTGTCTTGTCCTTATTTTGGACGTTCTTTCGAATGCCGCTTACCGGAGTGTTCAGACCCCCCCCCCCCCCCCCCGGCCCGACGCGGGCTAAATATGCAAATTAACCCAGCATCCGTCTCAATATCAAGACACATAATTCGTTTATCGATACTACCAATCTTGATGGAGGGCTGAAGGGATTTTCTCCCCAACATTGTCATGTCACCAAAGGGTCTGCCTCTGAGTAAGCTGGTCGAAGAGGCCATGGCGGTTTTCTTTTGCAGGGTCAATTTTCATTTTTCAATTTTCTCAGGTTCATTTTTGGCCTGTTCGCTGGCTGAAGGGTGATGTAAGTAAAAAAAGCACTTTAAGCCAAACCACTTCTTAAAAAAGAAACTGAACACAACTATTCACAATGTGACATTGCATCTGTGCCCTGATATCAGTGTGAAATGAGCGTGTGATTGAGTGTGGCCGTGAGACAGCAGCTGGAGAGTGGCGCGCTGTGCGCTGACCGACACCCCCTCCGGCAGCGGCTCTCGGCGGCAGCGGACAACGGACAGCGGACAGCAGCGGCAGCGGACACGCACTGGTCGGAGCCGGGCAGCCGCCGCCCACTCAGCACAGCCAGGACGCCTTCCGACGGCTGGTCAGTGCTAGCCGCCACCAGGCACCAGCTGGACCCATCCGATTTATATACTCTATGCCTCGCATTGAACACTGCCGCCCATCGACATCCCGACTAGTGGTGTTAGCATTGACTGGCGAATAGAATGGTCAACTTTCGTTATGATAAACTATTTGGAGATGGCAATTGTACAAAGCAAATTACAAAACAGTGTTGAATGTAAACCATTGTGTAGGTTTCGAACATCTTTGGACAAATGGCTGGCTTGGACATTTTTGGACTGACATTAGACATACATTTTCTGATATTGGCAACACTAATCCCGACATTCCGAGCACCATTTTCCGTTTCAAAAATACTCAATTTCTGAACAAACTGAAAGCGCCAGGGGATAAATTTTCGCATCATATCGTAGCCGAATGTGTCGTATCAATTTTGCAACTCCCATACGTTTATCATTATTCATGCCAAAACATTCGCTGGGTTGCGGAGGGCTGTCTCGAGGAGAGTCTGCTTTGTTAGCGGCTCAAACCTGTATATCATGTGTTTCGTCGTTTTTTTTTTGTACGTGAAAATTTTTCCCTCCAGATCTGCCTCCTGAAACTTTCTTAGCTCACTTTTCACAAATTAACGGATTTTGAAGCAATTGTCCTGAAAGTGACTGACTAGTAACTATTCACCTTTATATTAGTCTTGACTTCATATAGCCAAACTGGGGGCCATTGCTCACAACTACTGGTTTCGGCACTCGCAACATCGAGAAATGCCTTAATTCGGAAATATTTGAGTTCAAAGTCTGCAGTTCCCGGACTCTCAAGATCCAGTGTATTCGAATGTCTCCTTCGGATTTGTGACGTCAGCGCAGATTTAGCGTTTTCAAACCTTTTACCTTGATCAAAGCAATACGCAATAGAGCTATACACTAGGCTTAACAACACACAAGAGCTATCTATGTCGCACTTTGCGGAATTCAAAACTATTGCTTCCAAAGTCACGTAAAGGAAAGCCTTAACCCGCGCACCGACCCTTGACCGCCCCCACTCCTGAGATTTTTCGTAAATAGCGGGAAAACCGGCTCCGTGAAATTTGGCACTATTATCTTCTCATCAATTTTACACATGGTGTGCAAGTTTGAACCTCCTTACTTTCAAGGTCAAGTCAACAGGTCACTTCGAATGACCCAACCCAACCTCAAATCACTTTTTTTTTGCAACCTTTTCACCGTGTACAGTAGAAAACCGTGTAGAGTAGAAAGTAGAGTCGGCAAAAAGGCATGTCGGCAAATTGCATTTCGACTTTTAGCACTTCGCCTTTTCGACACGTCGGCAAAAAGACACGTTGACAAAATGGATTCGACATATTGACATTCGGCGAATAAGCATTCGGCAAAATGCAGTTCGGCAAATTGTCCTGTAACCATCATTGGATTCGTCTCTTCCCAAAGAATCTTTTTGGTCTTTACCGCGAAGCTCTATCTCCAACAGAAACGAAATGGCGCTGTGCGGGGGATGGCAACCCCCCATGTGCGTTCTAGGATGGGAAAAATGGCATGTGTGGGCGATGGTTAATGAGAAGCTTACCAGACTCTTGTTCACTTAAATGAAAAACAATATCAAATTCTTATCTGTATTCAATGTATACAGATACAGATACATTGAATACAGATAAGAATTTGATATTGTTTTTCATTAACCCTCGCCCGTAAACGGTGTTTTGCCACCTTCGCCCATGCAGGGGGGGGGGTTGGTGCGACCCCCCCTGGCGTTTGAAAACGGAGCGTCGTAGAGCTTAGCACAAAAGACCAACGGATTGCTCTCAACGAGATCTCGCGATTGGTGGTACATTTTTGGTCCTAGGTCAACATTTGACCTAGTTATGACCGGTCAAAGGTCAAATTTTCGGAAAAAATCTAACTTTTTCAGATTTCCGCGCCGATTGCGGCAAAACGGTAAGAGATATCGACTTGAAACCTTCACTATCGTGATCCTTGATCAATTCTCCATCGTTTGGTGTGTATTTCGATGTCATAACTCTAAAAATGATGCGTTGGGAGCATCGGAAGTCTGCAAGGTTATTTGTGCATTGGGTCACGTCAGGCGTGTGACGTCACTGACCTGGCCCTAACCCAAAATGAACTACAAGAAACAACCGACGATGCCTGAAATGGATAGCAAATTCGAATTCAGGGCATCAAAATACCCCGAAAAGGCATACAAGTGCAAGAAGTCATTACAGGTCAACCGAGGTCATTGACCTTACCTTGACCTTTAGTAACCTTCAAAATGTCAACGGACATTGTGCCAATGTCAAATCAGCCAGTTGTGATTCTAAAACAATCCATCAGTGTGTCAGGTCAGTCGACATTTATACCAATGTGAAGCAATCTCCATTTAGAGTAAATCTGGCCGGAGGTTGTTCCCTTAATGACGTCATAACTCCGTGACCTGACATGACCTTGACAAAAAAAGTCAAAAGTTGCGCAAAGGATGCCCCATAGGGTACTGAAAATTTGAGCAGGGCAGGCTATCTGAAACGGTTCGGCGTGTAGCTAAGAAAAACGTCAGGGGGGGAGTTGCACCCCACCCACCTACATGGGCGAGGGTTAAAGTGAACATTTGTCAAAATGAACAATATACAATTACCAGATTCTGTTAAAGCAATGTCAATACCTAAACATTGTCAACCAACAATACCATCGCGAATGAACCTAGTTATGAACCATCCTCGTTTTTCACGTTTTGCCTACGATAGATTCATACAATTTAGACAGAAGGAACTAAATGAAACCAATGCGCAACAAAAACACAAATGGATAAGAGACCTAGGATGCTTCGAAGCAAATGCATAGTTTTATTGTTAAGTATAATAATAAAGTTTTTATTATAATAGTTTTATTGAAGTACTCAAAGCATTTGTTGCTTTGAGTCAGCATATGTTAGAATGTCTCATTTTAAGCTCATTAGCAGAATCTTAGCAGCGAATACATGTTTACAAATGATCGATAGATAGCGATAGCGATGATAGCGATAAATAACAGATAGCGAATATTGTATATTCTGCAAGCTTCGGCCTGAAACGCTTGCCCATTTATTCTTGTATTGCCCTATAACAAAAGATTTCATAACCAAAATCAAAGCGGAAATTCTGCAGAAATATTATATAGATATAGATGGAAGTTTAAAGACATGGTTTTTCCCTACGAATCTGAGTGCAGAGGAGACGTGTATAGTTACACTGGCAAAGTTAGTAATTTATCAAGCGCGCTACAAAAGAAACCGACCAAATATTGTGCATAAAAAAACAGAGAAAAACAACAAGTTGTGATAGAGGAGAGTATAGCCAGGTTAACAGGAAAACAAGAGAGTTTTGAGAGGAAATGGGAGAAATGGAAAAATATTACCATATAAGGAAACAGAATAATATTTAAAAAATCGATGCGCCTTGACGAGCTGAACACCATGAGACCATTCGCGCGGCTTTATCTTGTCCCTGTAGCATATTTACGTCTGGACAACGAGTTGCGTTGGAGAGGCCGGAAATAGTGGCGATTTCAGGACCGCAAGAATGGACCGTCATTGGAATGATTCTTTTTTAAACCGTGGACTGTTTTCAGCCGGAATTTAATAGTTACTACAAAATATTTTGTAATTACGTTTCCACCAAGAATGATTGCCATCAGGGCTAAATTTTTACTTGTATTGCATTTTGTCAAGAAGCATAGATAGTGCTGTTATATTGCAGTTTTAGCGCGTTTGTTACGAAATATGAAGCGAATAAGCGTCAGTGTAATTCATTAGTGCCAGAAGTTAACTTGAGGGGAAGCCATGCTAATTGCTCTTGTCCATCCACTAAAATCTATTAAATATTTTGCTTTGTATATTCCAAAAGGAGAGGGAACTATTTCATTTGTGCCCTCATGTCAGAATTGATGGTGGATCATTAAATTTTCAACGCAGTTTACAAACAAGCATTTGGTCTTTCTTGTATATAAGCAGTGGCTAAGAAAAGGTTGATCAATCTTGAAGTTCAGTCATCGTACCTCAACTTGGCAGCAAGATTCCCCAAGGACAGAGGATATATTGTATACATGTCCTGTAAATCAAAGAAACAAGCATTTGGTCTTTCTCGTATATAAGCAGTGTGGCTAAGAAAAGGTTGATCAATCCTGAAGTTAAGTCATCGTACCTCAACTTGGCAGCAAGATCCCCCAAGGACAGAGGATATATTGTATACCTGTCCTGTTAATCAAAACATTTTTGTGCCTGCAAAGGCTTAAGTTATCTGTGGTGTGTTCGGAGTTAGGCCATATGGCCGTTTTTGTTGTATGTTTATGTGGAGATTGAATATAACTGTGACCCTGTGCTTGTTTGTATACTTACTATGGTCAAACAGGGAACAGCACATTCACATAACATACTCACCTAGCACCTAACTCATAGCTGCACCCTGCAGGATCTGTACTTGTTCATGTCTCGAGCATTAACAAAGCACTAAAGTAGCTAAGTAATCATTTCCCACATTTCTGAGCATCTAACATGACATACAGCAGTGCAGAGCAGCTTCAGAGAAGAAACACACACAGAGTACACACACACACACAGACTCACACCAGCCACCCAATGAGCCAGTTCCTCAGTTGACTGTTTCCCTGGATGCAGCTTGGCAATGTGAGCTAACTTTTGGCAAGTTGAAGGTTAGCAGGTAAGACTGAGTTAGGGTGAGTACCTACCTATAACTGGGTGCTACTACTATGCAGGTCTTGGGTAGGCTGCAAATATGTGTGAGGATTGAGGCTAAGTCAGCTGTCAGGCTAGTCAGGAGTATGCTCATTGCTCAGGTCACATTTTTATGGACACTTGGCAAATTAAAAAACTAACAATCTAATCTAAGCTAACCCGACTAAACATACACAACTACTGACTATAGGAACTAAGCACCTACCAACTCGTGCATACATCTCATACGATGTCAAAGTGGAGTTCCTTGGTGGAAGATTACCCTCAGTACTTTTTATCCCAGCC